AAGATTCACAGTCATACCATCCCGATTTCAAACATGGCACTATGGTGGTTCCATGGTCAGGTTTTCACCCTCCATATGGACGACCGGGTTCTAGTCCCAGCCCATCAACGGGGCACCAGTCCTGTGCCAACAGAGCCTTGTATGTTCCGGGATGCTCGCCGTGTGGTTTCAGTGGAGCTTTCGGACTGAGGAGGTCCAGGAAGCCAGCCAGGGAAAGCCCACAATTGTGCATGGGGTCTCCGCCAGCCAGGGCCTGACTCCGTGGCCATTAGCATCATTCCATGGATGAGAATGGAGGCCTAGGGAGCTTAGACCTTGCCCTGGGCTTCACGGCTACAGGTGACATGGAAGGATGCATCCAGGTACTACCCTGTTACACCGAAATGAAAGGAGACCAGGTATGCAAATAGCTATAAGGGCTACCCCTTTCTGCGTGCTACCAGGGGCCCACTTCTGTCTAAAAACTCCTGCTGCGTGTTCATTCAGGCAGCCTTCCGAGCAGGCCTAAAGCAGTACTAGTTTTATCCCCGTTTTTCAGAAGAAACAGATGCAGTGGCTAAATCACATGCCCAAAGCCTCACTGCCAACTCTGTGCCCAGACTGTGTTTCTGGAGTCTCTGCCCTGGACCCCAGTATGCCTGTGTCCCCATAAGCCAACCATTGTTAGTCTTTAGCAGGTGGTGGCGGGGTTCTGTTTCCTGGGGCCCATAATGGAGAGGGGTGGGAGGAAGGTCAGAGTACCCACCTTGCAGGAGGGGCCTGCCTGGACCTGGTCACTTCTGAGGGGTGACAGGAGAGCTGATGGTGTTCCTTCCCACCAGGTGCTGACGCTGTGTGGGCCTGGTGGCAGTGGTGAGAGTGGGGGGTGCTGGGCTTTTGGGAAGGTAGAGCCAACAGGATTTGCTAAAGGAATAAGTAAGTGCGAGCTGTCAGAAGGGAGAAGGCTGCGTGATGCTCAGTTGCTTTGCCTGAGCAGCTGTGGGAGGATGGCGCTGCCATCTGGGATGGGGAAGGCACGTGCTGGTGGAGCAAGTTTGGGGTGGAAACCAGGGGTTGGTTTTGAAACGGTTGAGGGGATGTGAGCACGCAGTAGCACTGAGGAATCTAAAAGCGCCAAGTTCCGGGGTTCTTGTCAGACTGGGTGAGACGAGGGAGAGAATGGAGAGTGGGTTGCAGCAGGTAAGAGGTGGAGACTTGAGATGCTGAGGTCAACAAATAACCTTGCTCCAGCGAGTGATGGCTGCAAACGTTTGAAAGGGTGGTTTCCCATACAGTTGTGACTTCCCGCCCCCATTCAATAAGATTCAAAAAGCCAAGTTCAACAGAACCAGCCCTCCCCAATACCTCAAACCCACAGCATCAAACTGATCCTGACTCATAGTGACCCTGTAGAAGGCTTCCCAGCTGTGAATCTTTACAGAAGCAGGGTCCCCCATCTTTCTCGCAAGGGGCACTGATGGGTTTTAACGGCTGACTTTGTGATTAGCAGGCCACCGCTTCCCTGAGAGCTCCACCAGGGCACCGTCCCTTGGAGTCTGGGAAATTCCCGGAGGATCCTTCCTAATAAGGAATGACTGTCAGGAAAGGGTATTTCACTCCTTGAAGACCGCGTGGAGTGTTAAAGGGGTGGCTGCGACCACAGCAGTGGGCCTAAGTTGAAAGTCTGCTTCCCAGCAATACATTTCACTTTCTTCTGCTCAGGACAAAGTTCTCCTTACGTACAAATTCCAGTCGGGAGCACACCGCACCTCGGAAGCCCGGAAGCCCGGGGACAAGGATCACACAAGACTGCATTAGGTGCCCCTTGTGTAGATCCCTCCTCCCGCCCCCTCCCGTCATCCATGGCCCTCAGCCACACTGTGTGCAGTGTTCGCGTTCCTTCCTTCACGTCCCTTGTTACTGTCGACTTCTTAGCAAAGCTGGGGAAGGTGCTTTTTCTTCGTTGTGTCCCAGAGGAACCAGTAACAGGAGCCGGTTGCCCGGTTGTCCGTACAGTCCCTTCCGACCCATGGCGACCCTCTGTGTGTCACCGAGGATCTCTGCTCCAGGGGATCTTCAATGGCTGGCTTTGTTTTCTTTATTTCAATAACAAGTTGTTATTGTAAATTGGGTGGGGCCAACAGCTGATTTTCAAAGGTACTTCTGGGGGAACTGGAACCTCCAATGTTTCGGTTAGCATCCAAGAACATTAACCGTCTTGCCCCATCCAGGGACTTCTTTCAACCCCATAGTGTCAACCGTGAATGAAGGAAGGCCCAGACATTTCGGGGTTGCTTCATTTAAAAAACAAAACAAAAAAACTTTTATTGGGGGCTCTTACATCTCTTATCATAATCCATGCATTCATCCAGTGTGTCAAGCACATTTGCACATATGCCGCCATCATCATTTTCAAAGCATTCTCTTCCCACTTGAGCCCCTGATATGAACTCCCCATTCCCCACCCCCACCCCACCCCCCCGCCAGGGTTGTTTCTAAAATGTGAGGCCTCAGGTTATTCTAGGGAGTTCTGATTTGTTTGCCATTTCTCGGTGTACCTGCTGGGTCTCTTAGACTATTGCCCTTGAGCCTAAAGATGAGAACGGCAGATAGAATCCCCTAGATCTTCCAGCTCAGCCACTCCGCCAGAAGTTCTGGAGGGTCCTGGGTCTTTCTAGACTCTCCCTGAGTGGGCACTCCCGGGTCACTCTCCCCCTGAGGTGGTTTTGGAATGTGGGGGCTGGCACAGAGAAGCAGGGATCGATCCACAAGCTACCTGTCAGCCAACCATGGTGCCTTGCTAGACTCGACTGAGATGGTGGCTCTCCAACTCTGTTTACTGGAGAAAGGAGCGAAAAGACGAGGCCCAGGGTGGCTCTGACTCCCAGTGCAGTGTCACCAGAGCTGTTCCGCTGGGATCTGTTCACGTTCTGGAATTCTAATAATGGGGTCGTTCCAGATCCCCTTCTTTTAAAACAGATGGCTCCTCACCAGGTTGACGGGGCTGAGGACACTGTGTGGCCCCTGGGTCCAGGGGAGAACACCCAGATGTGCTGTTTAACCCAGTCGTTGGGGAAGTGGTCGAAACTCAGACAGAGGATGGCTGTCAAGTCATTCAGACCAAGCCATGGCCCGAGGTTTGAAAACACGGGAAGCTCCTGGCCAGAGGTTGGGGCGATTGCATAGACACCGAGCAAGGAGAGCATGCAGGACACGACTCAAAACCAAAATGCTAAGTGTCTGTTGTTATTATTGTGTGCCTTTGACTTGATTCTGACTCACAGTGACTGTAGGACAGACCAGAACTGCCTCTGAGTGTTTCTCTTTGCTGGAAACCTTATGGCAGCAAATTGTCAGGCCTTTTTTTTTTCATGAGGGGCAGCTGGTGGGTTCGAACCAGTGACCTTTTTGTTAGCAGCCAAGTGCTTAACCATTGTACCACCAGGACTCCCACCTGTTTACTAGAGAGTTGTTTATATCACACGTGTGTCTCTGATGGGGGCTGTCTACAGATAAGACTGAGAGACTCGGGCAGCTCTGGGCTGAGGGGGCGCTTTGCCTCTCTTCTGCCTGTGTTTCCAAGCGAAAGCCCTGTGGCTGGGTTAGGGTGGACCTGAGTGTGTCCACATACTGTGATCCAGCACCAACTTTGCCCTTGATGAGAAGGGCTGGATCCTAAGGACCTGGGTGGATATTCAAATTGGTTGAACGTCAAGGGTGAAAAGGCTTTCAGAATCATATAGGCCTTACCTGCTAATCCCCTTAAGAACATGGCCACAAAATGGACACTTGTCTCTCCTGAACTCTCCCTGTGAGTAACCAGGGTTGGCAGCCAGGAGCCACAGGCCACCCCGTTGGCCACTGCTGCCTTCTCTAAAGGCCTTCTTCGGAATTGGAGATGTGGAGGTTCTTCCGGAGCGGGGTGTGTATGTGTGTCTCACTGCCATCAAGTCAATTCCGGCTCATAGCAACCCTTTAGGACAGGGCAGAACTGCCCCTGTGGCTTTCCAGGACTGGAACCCTCCCTCGAGCAGCTGGTGGGTTTGAACTGCTGACCTTGCAGTTAGCAGCCCAGCATGTAACCCACTGCACCACCAGGGCCCCTCACTGGGTGCGACAGGATGATGCAGATGTTCTGGAACGAGCCAGTGGCGAGGGTTGCACCAGCTCGGAAGCTTGGTCAGTGGCACTGCATTGACTACCTCTAACTGGTTAACGCGGTGACCTTTGTTAAGGACCAAACTCTGACGTGAGAGAAAGCACAACACCGTGAAGGAAGGGGAGGAGGGTCGGAGTTGAGCCCAGCTCCCTGGCCCAGTGCATCCACAGCGCCATGGCTCCCTCCACGCACTGTTGCTTTCCTCAGGCTGCTGGAGCAAAGGACCGCAAACCGGGTTGCTCACAACAACCCACGTGGGTTCCCTTGCCGAGATGGGAGAGGAGGAGGAGTGGAGACAGGATCACAGGATGTGGGGAAATGATGGCCCCTACTGGGGACTGCAATCAAGCCGACGAAGGAAATGGGGTCTGAATTACATGGAAAACTGACCTGCTTGGAAGGCCTTTGGCCAATTCTCAATAAAAAGTTAAAACAGAAAGTGCAACTGTTCTCCCACAGTTCCAAAGGCTTGAAATCCCAAACCGGAGCCACGCAGGGCTGAGCTCTCTCTGAAGGCCCGAGGGGCGGGTCCCTCCTGGCCTCCTCTAACTACTGAAGGGCCCCTTGGCTTGGAACAGACAGCTCCAGCCTCGACCTTTGCCTTCACCTGGCTGCTTTCACTCTGCCCCGGTGAGCGCACCGGTCAGAAAGAGGGCCCACCTTTCTGACATCATCCGAGCCTAACTAATTGTGCCTGCCAAGCAACCCATCCCAAATCTGATTCCGTTCTGAAATTCCAGGGACGGCGACTTCAACATCAGCTTTTCGAGGGAGCACAGTCCACCCCAGGACACACACCGACGCATGAGTCATAAGAACACGGAGGTCTCGCACGCAGTTGCTGAGCGATGCTGTTGAGTCAAGTTCTACTCATCGAGACTCCGCGTGCACAGAGGGGAACTGCTCTGAAAGGTTTTCCAGGTTGCGACCTTTCAGAAACAGACTGCCCGGCCCTTCTCCTGAGGCACCTCGGGATGAGTTAGTGCCAACAACCTTTTGGCTGGTAGTCACTTGAAAGAAATGCTAGGCGCCTTCATCCTTATACACGAGTGTCTCCTCAGTGTCCACCCCCACTCGGTCCCCGTTGTTGCCCCGCTCCCATGACTCTCTGGCTTGTGGCTCTGTCAGCCAGACAACCTGTCCTCCCGGCCTGTGGCAGGCCGCTCTGCCACCTGTAATGCCGCTCAGTCTTGGGCCACCGCCACAGGATCCCTGGCGAATGGGTTCTGTGGGCCCCACCTGCTGACCCAGGCCCTGTGGTAGCCAGGGGTGGCGGCTTGAGATCTGTAGTTTTAGCAAGTGCTCCTCCTGGTGGCGCTCATGAACCCCTGCTCCAGTGCATTCCCACCTTTGCAATCTTTTCCAGGCCATCTGCTCAGGGTCCCAGATGGACACGCTAGGCGGCCCTGAGAAGCAGTCGGAGTGGTGGGGGCAGATCCACCGGGGTCTCCTAGGTGTACTCGCTTCCACTGAATGTGAACTGGGAGCATCCAGCAGGGCCCAGTCCTCCTTGTCCTCTGGTCACCACCAAGCACACAGGGTCCTGGTCCCACCTTCCTGTAGGGCAGGGGTTACCAACCTTCCTAATGCCGTTCCTCATGTTGTGGGGACCCCCCCAACCATAAAATTATTTTCAATGCTACGTCATCACTGTCATTTTGCTACTGTGATGAATCGGGCGACCTCTGTGAAAGGGTTGTTAGACACCCCCCGCCATAGGGGTCGAGACCCACAGGTTGAGAACCACCACTCTAGAGGCTGCAGTGTCGACTCTCGGGAGTGAGATGTGCTTCCCTTGACGTTGGGGAGGATCTAGCTTCTCCCTCTTTCCACCATTCCTCTCGTCCTGGCTTTTTATGGAAGGTTCGGACATGGTGTTACTGTGTCACATCAGCCTATGCTTGTCCCACCCGTCCCACTCTGCAGGATGCGCTTAGGTGTGGGCCGGTCCACCCCACCCTGACGAGTGACCATGGAACCTGGACCCGGGCCAGATGCATCTCTGACTGTCAATGAGCAGGTATCTTCTGGGGTGGGAGGAGGGGTGGGAGGGGTGAGGAAGCTGTCCCATCTTTGATGGGTCCAGGTGGATGGGCAAGGAAGGAAGACTCCACAGCGCCCCGTACTGCCCACTTCTTATTAAGATGGCCACTCAGCCGCCCAGCATCTGTACTTGCTAGCTCAAGGTCTTCTCTGGGGCAGAGCTGGGGGAGTTAAGCTGTGACTTTAAAACATGAAATATGCTAATTTAAAGGTGATTTTGAAAAGAAAAATATATGTATAAATTGGCATAGGACAAAGTGTGAACACCAGGTACTTTAATGTTTTTCTTCTCCCTCTTATAATTTTTTTAAGTTTCTGCAAGGGACTGTAAACATGTACAAAGGAACAGGAAAAAGAGAGACGAACATGTCTTAAAATGTACTTGGAAAATAAATAAATAAAAAATTTAAAAATGTAATTGGAATGAAGTCCCCTGTGGGTCAAATTTGAGTCGAATGGGGGAATTGCATTTAGGGGTTCATGTCATGTATACACCCTTTCCGGCCCCATTGTTACTTTTCCCAGCAGAGTCTAGGGGCATCCCATTTGCAGGTGTCATTAGTGTGTGTGGGCGTGGCTCAGGCCAGGGCCACATGCAGGGAGGCCTGATATAAACCTCTTTAATGGTCACAGCCCGTGTGCTTGGAATTGCCCATCGGGAAGCAGTCAGTGCTGAGAGTAAGAACTTTGAGTGCTGGGCATCTGAGCAGGGGGAAAAAACCGAGTGCTCTGGGGCGACCCCGGGACTGCCCACCACATTTACACCTGGAGGCGCCCCTTGCCTTCTGAGTGCGCCCACCCCCCACCCGTGGTTTGAGTGCAGCGCAGTCTGGCAACAGGACACTCCTGTAACTGGGCCGGGAGGAGTGGGGGGACAGCTAAGTCTTCTATAAACCTTCCTAATGCCGCGACCCTTTAATACAGTTCCTCATGTGGTGTCCCCCCAACCATAACATTATTTTAGTTGCTATTTCATAACTGTCATTTTGCTACTGTTATGAATCGGGCAACCTCTGTGAAAGGGTCGTTTGACCTCCAAAGGGGTTGAGAACCGCTGTAGGATTTCTGACCCCGGCTTCAGGAAGTGGGCTTGCTGGGAAATGTTGGGTAATAGAGGCTCATGAGAGCTTAAACAAGCTACTCAGCCTGGTGGAGAAGCATTTTTCGGTCCTTGATCTTTAGAAACTTCCAGATGGTTTCAAGGGAAGTAGAAAAGGATTTGCTGCCTGGCCCAACTTCAGCTGTGGCTACCATGTCAGGGGCACTTGGGGCCACACTGCGGGAGCCCAGCAGCCAAGAGGACATCTTTGTTGTTAGAAGGTGGGATGGGCCACTCACCACACCTGGATCTGAGTTCCCGAGAGGGAGTCGGGGAGAAACAGGCCCAAGCATTTTGGTCCGAGGCACTCCTCTGCACCTGCTGACCCAGAGCTTGGCTTTCTCCTAGCAAGCTGTAGGTTGCCCCCAGGCTCCAGACTTCGCACTGAACCACAGTCCTCTGGGCCTCTCCGCACTCCCCCAACTGGACCCAGAGCTCTGGCCCCTCCCTCCAGCAATGCCTCTGTCTTGTGCTTACAGGTCATTGTGATGTCCGGCCATGAGACGATCCGAGTGCTGGAGGTTGGCGTGGATGCCCCGCTCCCCATCGAGGAGGAAGGCAAAGGCCTGGAGGATGTGGCCACCGAGGGCTCCCTGGGCGGAGGCCCTGACAAAGCCAGTGAGCCCACTGGCAAAGCGGGGCCAGACAACCCGGACTCCTCTGCAGAGGCGGCGGGTACGAAGTCATTGCTCTCATCTGCCCTTGGTTCACCCGAGTCCCTTTCTGCAGCCCCCTGGAGGGCCAGCATGCGCCTCGGGACGTGCCGTGAGGGCCTCCTCGTCTTGTCCAGTGGACAGCCTGAGCTGCCAGCGCTATCCTGTACTCCTTGTCTTAGGACCTTTTCGTTTTGGCCACTTCTTTACTTAAACTACGATGAGACAAGGGGAGCTGGGAGCAGGATGTCGTTTAGGGGCTCAAACCAGCCTCAGAGGGCTGCTAAGTCTAACTCAGACCCTCAGGCCTAATCCAGAGAGGGCCAGTACCTTTCAAGGCCCTGCGGGCCATTCCAGCTCAGGCCTTTGGCTAATAGTGCTCAGAGGTGTGGGGGAGGGGACTAAGGATGCAGGTTCAGAATTCCAGCTCCCTACTCTCTCAGCAGAAGGAGCCCTGATGGGGTAGTGTTTACAAGTTGGGCTGCTAACTTTGAGGTTAGCAGTTCGAAACCACCAGCTGCTCCTCGGGAGAAAGCTTTCTACTCCTGTAAACAGTTGCAGTCTCAGAAACCCACGGGGCAGTTCTACCCAGTCCTATATAGATTCGCTTTCAGTTGGTATTGACCCGGTGGCAGTGGGTTTGAGACTCCCAACAGGGCAGGCAGGAGCCAAGCCTCGGGGACTTTTAGGTGCTGCTCTCCTCCAAAGAGGAGCCCTAGTGGCAGTTACACATTGGGCTGCTACCCCCAAGGGCAGCAGTTAGAAACCACTAGCCGCTCCTTGGGAAAAAGATGAGGGCTTCTACTCTTGTAAAGAGTTACAGTGTCAAAACCTCAGAGGCAGGTCTACCCTGTCCTATAGGGTTGCTATGAGTTGGAACCGACTCAGTGGCAAGGAGGTTTTGGGTCTGGGTTGTTTTTTTCCTCCTCCAAAGATGACCTAGACATGAGCTTGATTTTCCTGCACCCTGATGGGTGTGACTGCCCCACACATCTTATCTTTCTTGATTACCTGCTGCACACCAGTGAGGCAGCCCTAGAGGCTGAGCTGTGGATCCAAGCTTTACTCTCAGGCTATGGACACTGCCATCCCTCAGGTGTTGGCTTTCCTCTTTAACACCTTGCAGCCTAGACATTTCTTCCGGCAGGAAGCCTTGGGAGTCCCCCAAGAATAAGGTGACCAGACGTCCCAATTTTTAACAATTTTTCCCACATCCCATGGCGTTTTTTTAAAAAGTCCCAATTTTTGGAAAGAATACACGACAAGCTAGGGTATACAGTTTTCGGCTGCCAGGTGGCTATTTCGCCAGGATATGAGTTTTATCAATGATGTCCCACTTTACCAATGTTAAAATCTGGTCACCTTACCCAAGGACCTGCCATGAATCGTCTCCCCTGGCTGTCCACCAGAGGTCAGCCCTTGGCTAAGACCTGGGCTGGCAGGGGTGGGCCAAGAGGAGGAGGAGGAAGAGCGCAAAAGAGCAGAAAAACAGCAGTTTCTCAGCATGAAAACTTCCAGACGGCATGAGACTTGCCCTCCCTCCAAATCAATAGGCAGATCCTTTTGGGTCCTAGTCGCCTGGATTATTTCTCCCCTTTTTAAATAAAGGAAGGACAAGTGGCATGACCGCTTTTCCCAGGCCTGGTGCCATCGAGATGGGTTGTCACCTCCCTAGGGATAGTGTCCTGAAGAGCAGGCCGGGGAGGTAAGGAGTAGTCTACCCCTGCCCACCTTTCCACTCAGCATGACCCTTCTCAGGAAAAGGAGATGTTTCCCAGGTTTGTCTGCAGTGCCCTGCTTCCCTTGTCAGGCTTTGAGCCCTCCTCCGTGTTTTATACCTTCCTTGACTCGACGCTCAGATATAGGTCCCAGCGCAATGAGTTCCACCTTAAAGCCACTGCCATGGAGTCGATGCCGACTCATAGCGACCCTATATAGAATTTGCAAGGCTTTGTAAGTCTTAACAAAAGCAGACAGCCTGCTCCTTCTCCCGAGTGTGGCTGGTGGGTTTGAACTGCCAACATTGTGGTAGTAGTCCGATGCTTACCAGCGCTTCTTATCATGAGTGTTCACGGCTCCTCTAAAAAGGAATGTTCTCACTGTCAAGCAGGTAACAGGGATTTTTTCTGATAACTTCCCAATCGCTGCCAGAACTTGTTCCGTTAAAGTACCCGTACCTCAATGGGATTGTCCTAGGTACGCTCGATCTTACGGAGAATGCCCTTTTACTAAAACAAAAGTAAACTAAACCATGAGGCACTCTCAGGGTAAAAGAGGAAGGAATGCAGTGATTGATGTCACTAAATTGCCACCCAGACCTCGTCACACCTGTTTTCACCATTGCAAACACTGAGGGTCCCTGATCAGGGGACCCTCACCGCTATACTATTTTATAGACTCATCTCTTTACTGATCCATTATCCACACACTGATAGACCCCAGGGTTTCTCCATTCTGTTTCTGCCCACCCTGTTTTTCATTGTCATAAGAAGTTCCAATGTGAATGTCTTTGGATCGATGCTTAAAAAAAAAAAAAATTTTTTTTAGGTGCATTGTTAGATGCCACCAAGACAGTCCCCAACTCAGGGTGGCTCCATACACAGGCTGGGACCACTGTGCTCCCTCGGTGTAGTCGCTCACGCACCTCAGAAAAGAAACTTTTTACGTAGGAGAGCATTATCACATGGAAAAAGACAAAATCCACTTCCGCAAACTCCTGGCCCCTGGGCCCTAATTTGGCCATACACCGGAACAAAGATTTCATTTCTTCAGATGGTAAACTTTTATCATGTATGTTTACCATATTCCAATGTTCTCATTTTTAAAAATATTCCTCGGGGTTTTAAAAACTTTTTGTCAAGAATGTTTTCAAAATGTGTTCAGATTACCCTCTCCTCTGATGCATATGCTGATTTCCCCCAATACCTACCTCTGGTGGTGTAGTGATGATGTGATGGGCTGATAACTGCAAGGTCAGCAGCCACTGGGGGGGACGGGCAGGGGAGAATGAAGTTTGTCATTCCCTTACAGAGTCAATGCCCTGGAAACCCACAGGGCAGCTCTCCTTGCCCTCTCGGGTCGCTATGAGTGGGCCTTGTGAGTCTGGTTTTTGGTTTGAGGCCTGTTGGCTGCCCTCCACCGAGGAGATAAATCTGCCCTTTCATTTTCTCTTAGTATTTTATATTTTGATTGTTACTTGTTTATCCCTTTAATTTCTTAAGTGATCTGGATTTTATTCTAACGATGAGCAGTATAGTGGCAAGCTAGGCTGGTGCCTTTCTAAAGGAAAACAGGAGCTGGCTGCAGGCTTGGTGAGCTAACAAGTGCAGGAATCCTTAGGTGAGCTAACAAGTGCTTTCTCCTCCCAGCTGTGCGCTGCCTCACTAGGGAGTGTTAAAGAGAAAGGCCGCTGATCTTCACTTCATCCTCCCTAGATTAGAAGCCAATGATCTGGCCCCCACCCAATGCCTAAAAGACGAACTCATAGTGACCCTATAGGACAGGGTAGAACTGCCCCAGTGGGGTCTTGGGTCTGCAAATACTTAAAAAAATTTTTTTTGAATGTGCAAATCTCTATGGGAGCAGAGAGCCTCATCGTTCTCCTACAAGTGGTTGGTGGGTTTGAACCACCAACCTCGTGATTTAGCAGCCCAATGTGTAACCCACTACACCATCAGAGCACTCAGACTCCTTTTAGTGTTAAATGCTGCACCTTCTTGTTGCTGTGTGGCAGTGAATCGTTTCCTGCTGGGCACACCCCATTCCCTGGAGAGACCAAGGTAGCAAGAACAGGCTAGAACTTGGAGGAACAAGCCCCTTTAGAAGCTCAGAGAGCTCTTCATCTTGATTCAACCTCAAAGAACAGCCAAGAAAAGTCAGCTGGCCTAGAGGGTCTCTGTGATCCTGTGGTGGGGCAAAGACATGTCCAGTGTTGCATTTAGGCGGACTCTCTTCTCCAGGGTGTTGCCCTGCAGGAATGCCTGCCCTTCTCCAACCAGTAGCTTAGAGAAGCTACATCCAGAAAGTACCCTGAAGCCAGGGTGGTCAGATACCCAGAGGTGAACAGTTATTGCATAAGTCAAGGGAACCAGCCCCCTTCCCCTGGCACCCATCCCTTCAGGCCCCTCTGTGCTGGACCATGTGATGGGTCTCAGTGTCCTGAAGACCCCAGGCCAAGAAGCCAGGGGCTGGCGACCATCTGTGCAGAACCCTGCATTTTCTTCACATGCACCTGGCAAGGGGGTGGCTTCTCTTCCACGTCTGGCACAGGGTGCTCTGGCTGCCTGTTCTATCAGTAGCATCCTACTCCAGGTGATCCAGGGAAGGCCAGCAACCAGCCAGCCAAGAGGTGGGCACAGAAATAGGGTGAGGGAGAGAGTCCTCGCTTCCCGCTGCAGATAGGGTGTTCTAAGCTGCTTACAGCAGGCTCACTCCATGACGTCCTTTTTTCTCTCCCTGCCACGTGAAGGGAAGTCACTCCCAGGGATCCCTCCGAGCCCTGCCCCCGCCGTTGCCACCTTCAGCCAAGCCCCAAGCCAGCCTCAGGCATCGCAGACCCTGACACCGCTGGCTATCCAAGCTGCCCCCCAGGTAAGGGCCACCCAGTGAGTTGGACAGAGGGCAGTGGGCAGGAGCAAGGCGTGGGAGAGCCCATATGGGGCAGCTCTGAGATCTGGGAGCGCCAAGTGTCAAGACAGGCTGTGGCTCCAGGAAGGGGCTCTCCTATTAGGGCGCCCCAGCCCCAGTCCAGGCCCCCTGGGAAAAGCACATCTGCACTTGCCAGGCGGTCTCCCTCCCTGGGGCCAGCAAGGATGGTAGAAATCCCATGAAGTTTCTCAGGACACTGGCGTTTCTGTTTACCTAATGGCTCCCATGCGCCCTGCAGCCGAGGCCCCGCGGAGCAGTGGTTGTTCGCAGGCAGAGCAGGGAGCAGGCCTCAAGGGTACTCAGTTTCCCAGGAGCCTCTGTGGGCACATGACCACTGGGTCCCACCCCTCCTGCTGCCACCTTGTCCTGTGGGCAAGGCTGGGGGTGGGGTGCACCCTTTCCAGCCCACCCAGTAGGACTGGGCCCTGCCTTCCCTTGTAGGCTGCTTCTCTGAAAGTAGGAATAGGTCCACCGCGGCCTCCCCGAAGGTCTCTCCCCGCCTGTCCTCACGCTGCCTCTCCCCACTGCCCTCCGAATGCTTTATGTGTGCTCCGCTGGGTCCCAGAGACCCGGTGTTGGCGCTGACGATGTTGATTTCTTTTATGTTTTCTTTTCTTTTTGAAATCTTGTTTGCTTTTGCAGGTCTTGACTCAGGAAAACTTAGCCACAGTTCTGACAGGAGTTATGGTTCCAGCAGGGGCAGTTACTCAACCTCTTCTTATCCCCATCAGTATTGCAGGTCAAGTGGCTGGTCAGCAGGGGCTGGCCGTGTGGACAATTCCAACAGCAACCGTGGCGGCCCTCCCCGGACTGACCGCTGCCTCTCCCACGGGGGGAATTTTCAAGCCACCTTTAGCCGGTCTCCAAGGTAACAGCAACTCTCCCCAGGACTGCACCAGGCCCCCCACCACCCCACACCACCATCCCTGCACGTGTGTTTGCCATGTCGGACTCAGAACCCGTGGCCCACCCCGGGCAAGAGCCCCGGAGTCCGGATCCAGTGGCCCAAGCGCCCAACCACAGCCTGTGCACCACCTCAGGACGCTAAACCCAGGACGCCAAGATGGCCCGGCAGGCCTCGCTAACTTCAGCCAACTGCCTGAGACTGCCCCTCTGCCCCATGCCAGAGGTCGCCCCAAGAGCAGCCTCCCGAGAAGGACCGCAAGAAGAGTGGGCCCGCGGCCTCCGGTTCTGCAATCGACACCCCACCCCCAGGCCCGCGGGGGGTGGGGACGCGAGCTGTGGGCCTGAGCCACGCCCCTCGCGGATCCAGGGACTGACTCCACGCCGCCTGCCCCCCAGGCCACACCGCGCCCAGCCCCCTGCAGCCCGTGCCAGATCCCTTGGGATTGGAGTCGCCCTGGACTGCGCCTAGGCGTTTGAGCACCACCTCTGTCTCTGCCTTGCCCCGCAGCAGCTGCCGTGCTGAACACCGCGCTCCCGGCCCCC